CTCAAATTTTCCTTGGTGCTTTTGAGAGTGAAATCTATATGTGTTAGGTATTTTGGTCTGATGTGTTAGGTATTTTGGTCTGGTGTAAGAGAGAATTGTAAATTCTCATTGGGGAGAATTTTGTTTCGTTGTGATCTAAATTAAGTTAAAAAGCTCTTGTTTGGCTGTTGAGGTAAACTAAGTAAAAAAATTATTTGATTGGAGAGGTCTTCGTAGTTAAAGCTCTCAGTCGATTTGTAAGTTTAGCTTGTTGTTAAAAGCTCTTAATTTTGTGTGGATGTCTCTGTCGTTAAAACTATGTTTTGGTTGGGAAGTTAGCCAGTAAAAAACTCTAATCCTTGTATAAGGAGTTTCTTGGGAAAAGCCTGTCAAAAACTTTCATGATAGTAGAAACTCTCAAGAATGAATTATTAGATAGAGGAGTAGGTCACTTCATTAGACTGAACCTCTATAATTCTATGGTATTTTTCTCGCATTCCCTAACTCTTTGCTTTCAGTTATTTATTTTCGGTAGATTTCTCTTTTCTTATCTATGTTTGTTTTACAAAAGAATTTTAAACTTCGACTTTGAAAAATATTTTGTTTTGAAAATTGTTTTTCAAACCCACACAATTCAACACCCCCACTCCCTCTTTCTTGTGTTTGGAATTACTTGACCAACATCAACTTCACTAGTAAACAGGGTATCATCCATGAAGTTGCTCGAGCTCTTGTCTTTTAAATGTAAGTTTTAACCTCTTATTAGGCAGAAGTCGTACATATTGTGTTCTATCTAATTAATGATATCTCGTCATAGGAAAGGTTAGTCATGTTTAGTATATACTCTCACAATTTCCTTATGTTCTTATCTAGTAGAATTCCGAGTCTCATGTAGGTTGGAGGTAAGTACTCAAAAATAATTTTGTTATAGTTGATTATCATATTTCGAACACTGATCTGGTTGATTTACATATTGATATGATAAAATATGTTGTTCCTTTAAATATAGATATCATGTTTTTTTATTGTCACCTCTAAACATCTTTCTTGGTGTTTTTGGTTATGCAAAGGCAGTGAGATCACACTTTATTCTTTAAACATTCACAAGGAAGAAATTAATTGTACTTCTTGCTCATGTTGAAGATATATTTATTATAAGAGATGATTTGTCTAAGATAAGTTAGTCAAGGAGAAATTTTCAATAGAGTTTGAGATGAATGACATTGGCCAACTCAAGTATTTTTGGGTAATTAAGCTAGTCTACTCAAAGAAAGTCATCTTTATCTCTTAGAGAAAATATGTACTTGATCTTTTGCATGAAACAAGCAAGCTTGGATGTAAACCTGCATTTATTCCTATTGAACAAAATCATAAGATGATTTATCATAAGGAAAATATCAAAATAGACAAGGCATAATATTATAGATTAGTGAGAACTTTGATTTAATTAGGTGTCATTAGGCCAAATTTAGCTTATGCAGTTAGTGGAGTGAGTCAATTCAGGCATGACTCAAAGCAAAACATTAGCAAGTTGTTGACCGAATTCTGCAACATCTCAAATCCACTCCAATAAGAAGTTTCTTGTTCAAAAGAGGTGAAAATGTAACAATGGCAGCATATACAAATGTTAATTATCCAAGATCAGTAAGCAATTGAAGACCTACATCTGGTTATTGTACTTTATTGTGTGGAAATCTTGTTACTTGGAGAAGTATAAAACAAAGTGTAGTGGCTCTGTCAAGTGGCTGAAAAGGAATTTAGAGCTAAAACCCTAGGAACTTGTGAATTATTCTCGATAAAACAAATGCTAGAAGATTTGAAGATATATTTTGAAGGTCCTATGGAGCTTTTTTTGTAAGAACAAAACATCTATTAGTATTGCACATAATCCTAATAAAAATCACATAACAAATAACATTAAGATGAACTAATGTTTCATCAAGAGAAGTAGAATAGTGAATTGTTAACTAGAGTATGCATTCCTTTTGCTTACGAGTTGGAAAATGTGTTAATAAAAGGTTTATTAGTCAAATAATTAAACCAATTTACTTGTAAGTTTGGAATGATTGATATTAATACCCTAATTTTAGGGGGTGTTGTAAATAATAGTTGAAATAGTTTTACTTTATCTTTAACTAAAGTTTATTTTTTTTGTAAGGGTTGTTAAGCAGAACCAATTAGGTCCAAATTATTTCTCTATTTGAACAAACTATTTATTGGATTTAAGGGAGTTTGTGGGTTAGTTTTGGTCTAATTTGATCAAAGTCTATATTCAAATTAGTCAATAATCTTTGGTTTATGTTGAGTATTACTTTAACATGTATTTCTAATACTAAACCTAAATCAAGTCAATTAGAACATCAATGAATTGAGTTAGATGAGATTTTCGAATCATGCACTAAATATAACTTTTAAATTTTACATAAAAAAGCAATTCAATTAACACATTTATTGTACATAAACATTTAAAATATAAAAAAAAATTAATTTGTATAAAATAGATCATGTAATATTTAAAAATTCTTTTACAATTTAAATTAAATAAAAATGAAAAAATTGTGTAAAAAAATTTAATGTTGAATAAAGAAATTTAGTCTATCAAATTTGATTTGTGATATATATATATATATATATATATATATATATATATATATATATATATATATATATATATATATATATATATATATATATATATATATATATATATATATATATATATATATATATATATATATATATATATATATATATATATATATATATATATATATATATATATATATATCTTGTGTAGAACAAATATCTGGTCGGTTTTTCAAGAGGTTGCTAGGGAGAGCTTACCAGAGTGAGTTTATGGGATGATTGGGGGATTTGAGAGCTACGTCAGAGAAGCGTGTGTCCCAATATGAATGTCTTGCTTATCCTCTTGCAGGAACTCCTTTTTATAGTGTATATCTTTGCATCATCAAGAGCCTCAGTTAATGAGTGACTCTTGAGTTCCGTAACTATATAACCTCTATCGTTCCCATAAATGGAGGAATCAAAGTTATGTAACACTGTAATGATTACGCCACCGAAGGTTACATGCATTAATGAGCCGAGGTGATGACCAATCACGGGTAGGTGCCACCCAACTACCTACCCTATTCGGGTCGATGATGAAGATGGGTTGCTACCCGGGTCCATGGGTCATCTAATACCCCCCTTAGGCGAGTTGCACCCCGAATACCTTCGCCCTAAGTGGACCACTGGTTTAACCTTTCTCCTTTTCGATTACACTACGCAGTCGGGCCTATTATTTTTGGGATGTACATAAGCCTCCCGAGTTCAAGTCTTTTCTTGTAAGGATGTTGTATTTGGTCAGATAGTCGCAGAAGGTAATGCAGGCGCCGCCTAGTTGCTGCTCTACTCTGACCTACATTTGATGGAGTGAAGAGTTACCATTTTCTATTTCCTAAAGTAATAATGACTTCCACCTAAATCGTTGTTCATTGGGTGATGTTTCCCTATCATAGTGCATTGTTCCTTAGACTTAATTAAAGCCCTACATTTCCTCCTTGTCTTTTTCATCTCTAACACTGCAGAAGGCGTTACATCTTTCAAAGACGTTCAATCATCTTCAAGTGTTCTCCATTTTCCAGGTATTTTCTCTTATCCTTTCATTTTCATTTTTCCTTTTAGATTATGGTTACCCTAAGGGAGTGTGATGACGAAGGAAATGTCGTAAAACCCTCTAATATCAAGGAGAGGAAAGAGTTGTGGGACCAATGCATGCGAGGGGTGCAAGATGTTCTAGGTCAAGAGGGGTTTGATCAAATAAAAATGGAAGTTTATGGTTTCACCCTTGCTTCTTTGAGAGATTCTGACCAAGATTCTTCCTCCTCAGGTTCCATAGAATTTTTGATGGAAACTTCCGCCCCTTTCGACCTTGAAGTCACCAGTTACAGGAATAACGTGCTTGATGACACAGAGATCGCTAAACTTCTGTCTTTGATGGCGGTTTCTTCAACTGGTGAAGAAAGTGACGTTATCCTAGAGGCGTGCGTTCCCAAAGATCGTGTATGTTTGATTCGTAGAAAGTTCATTGATGAAGACTTCTTTTATTTCTATGATGGGGTTTTGGAAGATTTTAGAGTCCGCATACCCTTCTCCAAGTTCTAGGCCGATGTTTTGAAGGCCATGAATATCGTGTCATCCCAACTTTGTCCCAACATTTAGGGCTTTATAAAGGCCTTTGAGATGATTTGTGAGGCGATGGATATCGTTCCCACAGTCGGTATGCTCTTCTCCTTTTATGAGGTGAAAAGGGATGTAAAGCTTTAGTGGATCCAAGTTAATGGTCTTCCTCGCAGAAGTTTCCTCCAGGTGTATACCTCCAACTATAAAGGTTTTAAGGAGCAGTTCCTGAAGGTGAAATGTAAGATGAGATGCCCCCAAGTCTTATACTCTTTGGGTGGGCAACCCCGCTTTCCCTTCTACTGGACCCGAGACCCTTATCATATATTCAGATTTACATTTGAAATGTTGAGCGACTTATAAGTCTAAGCTCTGACCGTACATGACTCTTTCTGTATCTAGAAGGTCAAAGATTTATTGTCTCTAACCGTTGAACAGTTTCTAGACTTCCTTGGTGTGATACGGTGGGAGAACTGACTTGGTTGTTTTGGGTTTTATCGCAAATGTTGTGGTTAGCTAGAGTCGCCACTGACTTTTCTTTTATCCAA